GGCCCCAAAAATTCCATATCTCGGGCCCTAGTTATTGTCCATTCATCGTTATTGGGGTGAACTGCTCAATATATCGTGATACTGATTCAAGGCCATATTGCCCAGCCTACTCACACCCCTCCCTGGATTTGTTTGTCATGACGGCAAAAATGCCGATCTTGAGGTTTGAAATCGGCAGTCAATAAACTGGTACCAGAGTGACTATGTCTTTTTTTTTTTTTTCTTTTACACAGTCTGTGGTCATCGTGCAATTGACTGGCAATGATACCAGCTTTTGGCAAGGCTGCTGAAGTTGTGAATTATTGATAAACTCACATGTAAGTCAATAATGCAGAGGCTTGCAGGAGACAAACACATGAACACACGATGATAGCTGTAAGACAGAGACACAAATTTAGTTAGATTTGGCTCTCTGTAGTCTCTTTGTGGCTCTCCCTTGTGCAGAAACACGCTCATTTGTGCTTTATCTAAATGGTTTGCTCAGTGGTTTACGGCTGTTTACGTCCGCGCGGCTCAAGAATAAAGTCATCTATTGCACATCACTGACATAACAATTAGAATTTGAGTCATGCACGCATACACGGATGCATTACAGTGGTTGAAATTGATTCTTCCTCCCTTCATTTACGACCGCTGAGCTTGTTTTTCAGAGAGAAGTAGCAGAGGGCAGCTCATTTACGTCACACAAAGAGGTTGAAGAGGTTGAACAAGTACATCTACAAAGCTCTACAGCCGAGCCACATGCAACTTGACAAAACAACTTCCCCACCGGCGCACACAGACACAAGCACACTCCACATTTAATGACCCCCATCCTTTCAGCAAAATGGCGCTATTCTCAATTGCACACTCTGAACTGGCATCTGTAAATTAAGTAAATTACAAATGATTGCATGCTCTTTTCCTGGCATGCCAGTAGTGAGGGTGCAATCAAATCAACAATTCCCCTGATCTTGTCTGTACGCCAGAAGCCAGGAAGGTAAAACAAGCCCAGGAATCTCGTGGAAACACTCTCTGCTTGTCAGTGTGGTTGTGTAGAACGAAAGTCAAGGCGGATAATCGTACTTGCCAGGGAGTAATGTAGACATATGAGGCTATGTGTGCAGTAACAGCTCTTCGAATGTTTATTTACTGCTGTTTACAGTATGTATCCCTTCCAATGGCTTTGGATTTACGCCGAGAATAAAGCCTACAATGTCAATCAAAGTCAGCCGGCATTACTGTCACAGTTGTTTCTTTTTTTTGGTAAGGGAAGCTTTTAAACCTGGACATATGGCGATTAACACATGAAGAAAAACTGCAGGGCGTAACGCGGGCCGCGTTACGCCCTGCAGTTTCTCTTCATGTGTTTACTTAATCTTCATGCTGTCATTACAAACAACGACGTCGGGGCAATTTCCCTTGCTATCTCGCCTTGTCACCTCCTCCGCAACAACCTTTGCAACAAGGATCCTGCGTGGCCGTACACACCTGAGAATGCAGCGAGAGCAAACACATTTTTTCGAGGCCTTATCGCTGCCTGTTTAACTCCTGCGCTGTGCTGTTATTTACAGGCCTCTACATTTATCCCCACACGGAATGACACATTCGAAGCCCCCCCTCCCCTCCCCTGCTGATTTCGCTCCTGTCCCTTCTTATCTGGTGTCTATCCAAAGGCATCAGTTGGGGACAGGATTATATTGAGAGCTGTTATTAATTGCGTCTTCTTCTTCCTCCTTCTCCACCTCCACTGTGCCTCTTGCGCTGTCTGCAGGACGCCTTTCGAGTGAGATCTAGGAAGTTTATAAGAAGCTCCAGCTTGAGTGTCACAGACATGCAGTGTCCATTAATCACTATAAGCAGAAACATCAGGAACCTGTTGTTGCAAATCCACTCTGTAATTATGTTTTGCCTCCTAAAGTCCGCCAGCTTTATTTATTTATTATCCAGTTTTTTAGCTAATGACAGAGAAGCAGGCAGGAAACGCTTTCTGAAGAGGTCCAAGTGAGGTCTCATTATTTCAGAATATGAATTAAGACGAAAAACTGGAAGCGGCTCATTTCTCTCATTTTTTTCTATTTGGTTTACCAACCCGAATGGAAGCGAGAAAATTCCCCCATCGGTTCAGAAACTGAGCTCAAACCCACACACAAACACGAGAACACATTAGCAAACAGAATAATGAGTAAAAATACCTCAACATGAAGTTAGCCTTTGCCCTTCTTTATTCTGAAAATATTTACTTAGCGTCCAAATATTCTCCCTTTACTTAGACTCCTGTTTGTTTTCTAGGCGTCCTCGATGTCCTTGTCTTTTAACAAAAAGTTTCAAATGTTTAGAGATGTGTTTACTTGCTTTCTTAGTCTTTCTAATGAAATTTAGATGAGAAGAGGTGCTATGTGAGCTTCGACGAGCCAAAAACAAAGACTGAATGAGTAGATGGCTAGCATGCGTGTTGTGCGTTGGCCCAACTTTAGTGAATAAGAAAACTACAAACAGGATGTTGATGTGGGATTCCAGCCATAACGTAAACTTAATTGAGTGCAGAACAAGCCAGATCACAGCAACAACAAACTATTTACAGCATCCTACCGTTATTCCTCAGGAAAACACCTTTAAGTCTGTGCCCTTTGTAGTAGGGTGGATGAAAAAAATCGATTCACATTAGTATTGCGAATTTTGTATTGCAGTTTGGGTAAAAAAAAGTTTTTTCTTTCTCGCTTCCACCTGGGACACGTCTTTGTTTCCCCCCCAGAAAGTCCCAAAATCGCATCACGCTTGATGTGTATAGTCAGGCGTGTCAAAATATTCAAATATTTCATAATTTTGTGTTGTATATTTGCATCGTTCCTGGTGTGTAAGGACCTTAAATCTTAAAAACGGACTTAAATGTGATGTGTAATTTTTGGGGAAATATGGTTCCTGGACAATCATAATCATTCAACTGTTTCACTGGTGTTAAAAATGTGGACCTGAAAATTGAGAAAATAGGCAACATCATAGGATCGCAATTTAAATCAAATTGGCATCCAAATAATTGTCGAAGAACTGAATCGGGAGAAAAGCACATCGTCCCAGCCTTACTTGTTAGCAACCTGTAGCTAAAATGTAAATACAGAAATTTTTTTTTTCCATTTTTATCTCCTTTCACACGAGTTTGTTTCCATCACATTGGTGCAACCCTGACACTTTACTGTTTGTACTGTTTATACTGTTATGCTTTTTATTGTTATCTTTATTTTGTAAATTGAGAGTATTTAAGTTAGTCTTTTGTTTAGCTTTGTTTATTCTTATATTTATACTTTTATAGTTTTATTCTTATAGTTTATTCTTATGCACTGTGGGTCTGAGAGGACTGAAATTTCACCTGTGCTGTATGTTTTACATGTATAGCACATTTGACAATTAAGTTGACTTACATTGACTTTTTCTTGGGCTAATTTTGGCTCTAACAGTGAATTTATCTGCCTCCCCCAAGGAATGACACTTAAAACAGATAAGTCATCACACTTCAATTATTGCACTAACAAGTGGGATGTATTTAAGGACCTCCTGTGCGTACATTCCCATAACATGCAGAGCCTCAAATGCTGAGATACAGATAATTAAGATAGATGCAAAGAAACTGGCAGCCAAAAATATACTTGGACGGCCTGCCCAGGTATCATCTATGTGTGGGAAACATCCCATACATCTAAGCTCAAATACCATATGAGCAGCCATCAAAAATAGACAGAAATCACAGAAGAATTATAGAAGAATTAGAAGAAAATAGAATTTTTACTTCTGGTAGACCCAAAACACAAGCTGCATTTCATAAACCAGCACAGCTTATATTCCAAGTTTTACAGTATATCTCTTTTTCAGAACGTTAAATCAAACAAGTCTGCCTTGTTTGCTTTCAAAACTGAGTAAAAGTAATATAATATTTGCTTTGAAATGTTCTATACTCATAGACAGCACTGTATTTTCTTTTATTCTTCGGTCCAGCACATGAAAACACAGCTCCATGTTGCAGGCACATCAATAACACCCATAACACTGAGTGTAATATACAGTATGAAAACAGGCCCATGCTTCTTGAACAGATCTCCCATACCCTGTGCGGTAACAGCATTTCATCACGGCAAAGCAATAAACTGGCTTTTATATATTTATATAAAAATCAATCAGTCAAATTTTGACAACAGCGGAGAGGAAGTGCATTTCCAGGTAATATTGCTCGGTGCAGATAGCGGAAATGAAAGGTAGAAGGGAATAAATACAATCAAAATGCAATAACCTGACCCTCTAATGGAGCCTGAGAGGGCACCGAAATGAATACAGACATGTGTGTGTTTTCACTGACAGCGAGACAAATTAATAACACATAGTACAGATACCCCAGGTTAACCCCCTGCATGCGGATAAAGGTGAGCGAAACTGTAAGGAATACAGAAAAAGCAACACGTGTGTAATTCAGTCTGTCGTCGACATATTAAATCACACACACACACGGCTACAGCCTTATGATATTTCTCTGGGAGTGACAGAAAAATATGATATAGTCCTTGGAAAACTGTTCATGTTTTCTATCCTCCTACAGGATTACGTTTTCATTCATGTCCTGCCCAGAAAAAGTTCAAAAAAAAGATGGAAGCAAACGTGCAAAAGGAGAGACAACAGAGCTAAAAAACTCCTCTCATTGTGTGAACCAGCGCCACTGTCTTTTTACTCGCACCTCGTATGTGAGCGTCACAGTCTGGAAGCTTTGTCCTAACAGATGGAGAGAGAGAGTGAAAGCGAGAGACAGACAGACAAGGAGAGAGGGGAGAGGGAGAGGGAGAGGGAAAGAAAGAGGCCTGCTGGGTTAATTCTCCTCAAACCGATCCTGTTCCTGTTCTGTCAGGGAGCGCGTTTCGTCTATCCAAACCCCTCTCCCTGGACCTCGCACCTGCTCCTAGGCATGGCAATGAGCCTCGGCACACACACACGTATAGGCACATTCACACACACACATACATAGAGGATGACAGAGACAGGTCCGTGTAAAGAAGGGAAGAGAAAGGAGAGGTGTGGTGGATACAGAACAAGACGAGGGAGGGGCTGCAGAGGAGAAGAACAAGAGGGAAGAGACAGAGTCAGTGAGCTGGGGAATGTGGGACGAAAAGTTGCGAGAGACGGGAGAGCGAGTCGAGTGTGGAACGATGTCAGGAAGAGGGGAACTTTGGGAGGGAGACAGGGGTGATCTGGGGAAGAAGATGAGTGATACCAAGGTTGGCAGGGGAGGGGAGGGGGGATCAAAGCAGATGGAAAAACAAAGGGGGGGAGGAGGGATAAACAAGAGACGACAGATTCGTCAGAAAATGGAAAAGTTGGAGAAGGAGCGATTGAAAGAGATGACGACAAACTTACCAGATTCACACACTCCGCGTATGGCAGAAGTTTCAATGAACAAAAAGAGAGCAACACAACCACCTCCAGACTACCTGGGCGACTTGGCAAAAAAAAATGATCACAATATATTTTGTCTTATCGTCAGATCTCGATTATCATCACAATTTTTTTAACTGCCAGTTTTAAAGCATTTGTTCTAAAAACTGAAGAAACTAGAGATTAGTTCAACATTTTACTATCAGAAAAAGTAAATAACAAAGCAAACTAAATCAGATAAACATAGAAAAATATAACAACCATTTTGACTCAACACGGCCCGACCAATATATTGGCAAGCTGATTAAATCGTTAGAGACTAATCGGTAATCGGCCAAGACTCACCAATTTTCGCCGCAATTTTCAGAAATAAAATGCAGAGAATAAGATTTGGTTTCACTTTGAAAATGTTCCACCATTTGAAAAGTTCCCCGACTTATCCTGTAGATGGCGCAGCGACCTCATGACAATCTTTATCCACTAACTACCTCACAGCACAGCAGAGTGACGGATCTGAAGCAGGCAGCTCAGGGACGCACGGAGGAGAGTGGTCCGCCTCAACGGTAAATAAACCAGTTTGTGAAATACACAATAAGTCAACAAGTTTTAGTTCGACCCACTTCACGATGTTCCCTGCTGTAATAATCGGTACTGGCATCGGCCCCAAAAAATCCATATCAGTCAGGCCCTAAAACCGACGATGAATAACTTTCCATCCCAACAACGGCATCTTTGGAGGATGACTCGGAGTCGTGGCTGACATCTATTTTGCATCCCTCAGCTCCGTGTTTAGCTCCACATTCGGTCATTCTGTTAACTTTTCCAACACTTACAGAAGTGAGCGGGAAAAGCTCGCCTCTGATCTGCTGTTGTGATGCACATTTCCGTCATGTATGATCCAGTAAATTAGCTCACAGCTGATCACCGTGATCGTATTGCAATTTATCACGATCCTTAATCACAATCATACAATCGCCCAGTTCTACTCCATACACAATAATACAATACCATACAATATGGTACCATAATGTGATAATAAGGGACAGCTTAGTTTGATCCATAATACGCCACTTTTCTTCATTAGAGAATCTAGTTGAATCGACGAGCTGCAAAGGTGTTTTCTTGAGTTTCGGATTCCATCAAGGTCCTCAAGTCCATTTCAAGTTTTACCAAAAACACTTCATATAATGTTGAGAAGGATAAATGTATCTAAACGGCCCTGATGCATAAAACATGAGGGTTAAACTTGTACCTTGAAGTGAAGACCAACAAGTCCATCCAAAGAGACAAGGCCCTTCTTCTCCTTCATCAGTCCACGCTTCCTGTAACACAAGGCCGTTTCTGCCGCTCTGATTCAAACAAAAGCCCCTCGCTTTGGCATTCAGAAAGGTCACGATCCGCTGATATAGAGATGTGTCGGCCCCTCAGAGCGATACCCAACAGTTCATCCGAAGCACAGGTGTCAGTCCCCCCCTAAAACAAGCTCTAATGTTCCTGCCGAGCGCTTTGTTTCAAGTCTTATCTCCAAACTTGTTGCCGCCTGTCAAAGGTGTCGCCTCAGAGGAACAAAGAGAGTCGTATCTTCAAACGGCTTTGACACCGCACCCCTTGTTGATGGATTACATAGCCGCGGGTTCAAAATGACAACAACGTCTGGCAACAATATATTTGATGGAGATCAAAGCTAAATGAAATCCAGTGAAGAGCAGCCCGAGCTGAATATTTACAGTATGTGAAATGTGAGACAGAAACAGACTGACAACGCATGATGACAATTTAAAAAACATGTACGAACGGGGTTGTTAATTTCATCGATTTTTGTTAGAGCAAGCAAAACCATACTTTAATAGTCGTTCTTTCTACTTCACATTGATTCACCAGGTCTAACGTGTATATGGCCTCCACCCAAGTGAGCGTGGGATTAGGGTCTATCCTCCAGTGACCATGACCGCCCTAAAATAACTACCTGAATATGGGTATTTAAGCAAAAACAAACCTTTTGACTGAAATTTTCAACACTCAAATCAAGTTACAGAGTAGTCACCTGTATAAGCCCTCATTATCGTAAAGTGCAAACATTTTAGGACCAGTTTGAGATTAGTTTTTGTGGTCACTCAGTACGTTTACACGACACTCTAGAAAAAAAAATTATTGCCTCATTCAGATTAAGACCGGACAACTGAAGTACAAGTAAACATCTTAGTCTGACTATAATCAGAGTTTGAGAACTCTGATTGGAGTCGGAGAACTCTGATTAAGACACCTAGAGAATTTTTTATGATGTACATGAGTTAGCTTTATTTTTATTTATTTATGGAGGCTATTTATTTTAGAGCATGACAAGTGTTGGTTGACGGAGGATGACAAAATAATCAGACTCACACCCGCTACAGTCTGAATAATAAGCTGAAAAGAATTAGTTTATCATCTTTATTACAGTGAAAGTAAATAGCAAGGGGTTGTTTTTGCAATAAAAAGGATTTGAAATGAGTTTTCTGCCTTTAATTCTTTGAAGAAAATTTCAAAAATCAGCCGACTAATCAGTAATCGGTTTTTTCTCCCCCTAATAATCGGCATCGGCCCCAAAAAATCCATATTGGTCGGGCCCTAGTTGTGATTTAGAAGAAATGTTGTATTTCTATTAGGAAAAAAAGTGACACGGGAGTGTAATTTTCTTTTTACAGGAAAATACCTACTTCTCAGTCCCTCAAGTGTGAGTGCCTGTTTTCATGGTCAGCCAAAATACAACTCTAACAACCCATTGTTGCCTGCTTTTAAAAGCACTTCTGCTGAGGGGAGAAAAAAAAAAAAAAAAAAAAACATCACCCTCCTTTAATTAATTTACCTGCTACAGTGTTATTCATCTCAGCCCATTAACTTCTGCAGGGTTGAATTTGTTAAATAATAGCTCCATTTAAATATGTGACTGTTGAAAAGCAGCCAGCTGCAAACACAGCAGCAGCGGCAGACGCAGTAGCAGCAGCGGCAAACTGAATAATCACTTCAAAGTCATTTCAAAACCGAACTTGTGTCAACTAAATGAAATACAAATACTGACTGTCAAACATTAGCAATGGCTAAGAATAGTAAACGAATGCAGGGAGAGCCTAGATTGGAATTACTACAGAGACTCTCTGTGGAATGAAAACAAGAAGTTGCTGTTTGGCATTCACATACATTTCCATAGTAATTCTGCTGCAAAAACAAAAGTTTTAACTAACTCCCGCCTGGCATTTCCCCCCCCTACTTATGTTGCTGACATGCTGCACTGTATTTCCCGCAGCCCATTAGTTGTAGCCTCTATACACACGCCGCTGCCTCCCCGGCTGTGACAAGAGATATTGAATTCACGGAGAAAATTGGGGAGGTATACACAAACAATAATGAGTGGAAGGGACACCCAAGAGAGCCCTGCAGTGACACATAGCAGAGCACAAAGAAACTCAAGCATTATGTTATACAGATACACACACTCCACAATACAAACCACCTGTTCATCATCCCCAATGATTCCCTGCACACTTTGCATACAACAGTGACTATCCCGGGGGTTTAACACTACATAGTTTGTAGACTCAACTGCTGTATTTCTGGATAGTTTTACAGTACTAATACACTTGGTAATTCCATATCCAGAGACTTTATACTTTTACTTTAGTATTACAAATTAGACCATATTGTGTGCTGTTAAAAGAGTCACTACTGAGGCTTTTATTCTAGATCAAAAATCATGTTAACTTCTTTGAAAAATCTATTATTAATATGTGTAAATGTAAACAGAAATAATGCCGGAGATACAGGGATGTCCCCTTAGCCCGCGAGCGCCTGCAGACGCATGTCATTATGCATGTTTGATTGACAGGCGTGTCAGCGGGTGGGCAGTTCGAGGCAGGATACATGCATGATGAGTTTCCTGCTTTCCTGTTTGTACACGCGCAAAGATAAGAGCTTTGATTGGCCTTTTTTTGGCACTTTTTATTCACCAGTGTATCAGTTAAAAGCACTAATATCAAACCAGTTAAGTCTAAATAAGACTGAGTGTAAGACAATTAAGATCCATTAATCACAAATTTAATCCATACAAAAAAAATATGGCTCCTTTTTAAGGAACTTTGAATTTATGTCAATTTTGGCGCCCCCTGTGGACAAAGTAACCTTTGTTTTTCTTGTCTTCTACATGTTGAAGTTCAGACTTTTGATAGTCAATAGTGTCATTTATCAATATTTCTAGAGTTAGCCATCTGCTATTAGCCTAGCTACACTGTTAGCCGTGCCAGTAACAGTAGAATAAACAACAGTACACATTACGTGATGGAGCTACTTCTCTTACTGAAGCAGGCGGAACGGCAATGAGTTACGTGAGTTAAGACGTGGAGGCACCGATCAGTGTGGGGTTGAAAACGCTTGGATATTTACAGTTATTTACGTAGATATTTATAGTATATATGTATTTTTATAACTTCATAAAAAAAATTTAATCAGTAATCGGATTTTTTTCCCTCCAACAATCGGTATCGGCCCTAAAAAATCCATATCAGTCGGGCCCTAGATAATACTACTAGTAAGTGTGCTTATAATTTTTATAATGATAGTGACAGTAATGTTTAACCTGGAGTCACTAGTTTCCATCATGTTCAACACGAGTTCAGCTCCAAAGGAAAAAAACAGTCTGACTGGCGTCTCACTTGCTCCCTGCTCCCCATCTGTACCTCAGATTTATGAACTTGTCAGAGGTTTGTGATATTCATCTCTCTCCCTAACCCTCTTCCTTTAGCTGATTAATCTCTCTCTCTCTCTCTGCATTTGTGTTGGGCTCGTCCACCAAAGTTATTTTTCCTCCTCCGTGATGGCAGCCATGAGGAATGTGGTTTGATATTGCCACGCTTGTCACTCAGATAGCCAGAAAGGTGTGTGTGCATGTGCTTAGAACTGTGACAGATTAAATAGGCGTGAGTTTGCCATTCAGACAGCTTTTGTGCGCGCATGTGCATGCGTCTGAGCGCGCGTGTGTGTGTGTGTGTGTGGGTGCATCAGGTGGCGGCGCGCGGCAGAAGGGAGGTGGGTGACGCTACAGTATCTGTGACAGATGAAGTTGAAGAGTGGAAAGAAGGGAATGGGTTTGCCTGGGGAGATGCTACACTTCCTTGGGTGGGTGGGACCAAAGGGAGCATGCAGGTAGCTGTGACAGATGATATTAATTCACTTAGGTACCCGTGCATAGTGCCAGTGTCACACATTCTGCCACAATTTGACATAAAAAGCAGCGAGGGTGAGATAGATTCAGAAAATTCGGCTGCTTTCTTTCTCTTTTATCTTTTTATATCTGTTTTTAACATTTTCTTTCAAGAACTCAGACTTTTGTAAACATCTCTGTTTGAGGTTTTAAACATCAACCAGGGAAACTGTTGTCAAATTATTTGGTTTGTACTATAACTAAAAGTCTTTTTTTGAACACACAAGACTGAAACACCATCTTATGTATTCACTGGGCTGACAGGATTACATTTAAACTGTATCATTTAAAGTACAACCTCTTTGGGCTGTCATAAAGTTAATCTAAACTTTATGGTCTTATTGTTGACTTGACAGAGGCTGTAAACTTATTTGCTCCAAGCTAAAGTCTCCCTGTCAAACACAAATAAATTGCAGTGAACTCAAATGACTAAACCCGAGCCGCGGAATGTACAGTCTGTCCTGCCTTTCAAGATGACAGTGAGAGCTGAATTGCGCACCAGCAGGTAATTTGCATGCGAAAAATGACAGCAACAATGTCTAAAAGTGCTCATTAGGAACAAGGCGAATATTGGGCTGTGACATTGCCGAGATCCGCTCTGTGTAATTTGACACTTCACAGGTGTGAACAAAGTGGCTTTGCATTTGTTTCAGCGATGTATACAAGTGGATGTTTTACCACTTGTTATAAATCAGGAAAAAGAGAGAATTCACATGATTTCTGAAACAGGAGAAATCATCCACCCTAACATCGACATGAACTCCAAATGAGGATATTCTCCCTGAATTTATCCCATTTTTATTCGGCTCAGATCTCATCTTCCACTCTGTGCTTTGGATGTTGCGCGCACAACACTGTATCATCCGCCTGGAACGGCGTCCCGGTCAACGCCCACCGCCTCAGCAGCACCTCGATCTCGATCACTAACGAGAGGCCTTTCACCCGTGAAGCAACTGTGCGCTGCTCATTCATCCTAATGAACCAGGATACAAACACACTCTCGCTTGAAAACGAGGCGAAGGCCTACTCAGTGGTCCGTTTTGAGTCATCTATCCCTCCCCTCCTGCATTAGCCAAACTCTCATTCCATAAACACTGAATCACCACACTAAAAAAAAAAAAAAAAAACCTTATCTTAGAAATCTGTTACAGCTGAAGGCTAAGGCTGGACTGGACACAAAACCATTTTTAACCAGCTGTAGAAACATACGCTTGTTTTTCTTCTTAAAGTTTGCTGCAGGCGTGGCCAAAAGCAGGTCGATTATTTTGGTGCTGCATCACTAATGTTACAGAATTGGTTGTGGGATGTCTATAATTCTAGACAGTACAGGAAAGAGAAACAGAAAGGAAAGTATTAAGAGGGTGTTTAAAAGACTGGAGCTGAATCTATACGACTGCAAGCTTGACGTGATTTGTGGCATTAAAAGTGCTTGAAAGTCTCCTAATGGCAGGGTTTAAGAAATGTCACCTAAATCTGTGATTTTTATCAAAAAGAAAAAGAACAAAAAACTCTTACTCAGGGCTCCATTCTGAATCATTTGTTCCTCCTCAAATGCATTAGCCAAACTCTGAATCACCACGCACACACATATAAAAAACCTTCCTCACTCAAAGACTGTTTTTAGACCAAGACTGGGGCTAAAATGGAACCAAATCCATTTCATTTCCACAAGTTATTAATTACATATTTTTTACTTGTAAGTAAAAGCTAAGCATATCTTATTTGATAATCTGACTTGGGTATGGGTAGAAAACTACTACAGAGTCGGTTAACAATGTGTCATTGGTTTCGTGACTGTGGCTAACAATAGCAGAGTTAGCACCACAAGCCACAAGATATAACACAGATATCACATTGTTGTTTTTCTTTTTCTTTCTTTTCTCATTTGAGAAATGATTAATGTTAGGTAGGTAGATCTAACTCATACAACTTCGGAAACATCTCAGGGCTAAATTGTTCGAATTAGCTTTATTTCAAGTTTACCAACAACAACAGAAACAGCTCTTTGTTTTTCAGACTTAAAGGATTGATACCATCACACAACGGCAAGCCTACAGAAAATTACAAATATATCAATGTTACATGACAAATTCCCACTATCAAGCTTGACACTGCTAATTATGCAATGGACACTGACGACACACATTGGCATAAAGGAAAAAAGGAACAACGTACATCATGTACTTTAGTCAGTCGTAGCTTAATAGCCTATGTTATACATGTAGTGGGAGCTCTTAACCCTAAATGCTGTGGAAAGTTTGAGATTTTGTACAATTAAGATATCAAGAAAAAATCATAAAAAAGATAATTATTTCAATCAACATTTTTTAAAGTTGCACATAAATCCATTATTGAATGCATATTAAAAGCCACTATTTATGGTAATTCTAGCCAGTGACATGTTTTTTAATGCATTTAGAAATCACTAAGGCGATACTGGCCAATATGATGCCATAAACGGACCAATTAATTGGATAAGTGATAGATGAGTTTGTTCATAACTTTGACTCATCTTTTCTGATTTGACAAACACTGATTTATCATCTTTCATTTTCTTTCTCAAAGTGAAGATCTTGTTCTGCGAACAGCAGCACTTTTTTTTTCATTGTTTTTTGTGTCAATCACTGCTACTGGATTATTGATTTTTTTTTGTTGTTCCGATGTCTGGTTGTTTTCAGAACAGTGGAGGGGAAACATGGAGGAGTGGGAAAGGTAGGACCCAAATCCATGAAACAGCAAGGTCAAGACACACTTAAACGCTGTGGCGTCGGAAATAGCGGCTGTTTCAAGCAATGCGGTTCAAGTCTGTGAATATTGTGAAAGTATTAAAAGACACACTTCCAAACAGAGTCGCTGCCTGGCTGCCTACTTCGACTGTAATTTCAGTCCGTGTGATACTGTCTACAAAGACACAACAGTTATGCATCCCTTCTTCCTCTGACCTGTTTCTCTCTGACAAGCTCGTACTCACAATGCCAGATCACATAGCGTGGCTCGTCCTCTGATCACTGACCCAGTGCCAAACATGTCTCTTTAAAGTCCCTCAAGACACAGGAGACGCAATCAAATATGATCCTCAGGTTGAAAAGTGAGACATTCTGCGGCAGCCGTCAGATGACTCATGCCTTCCTTCCCTTTTGTGCATTTTCCATTTGCTTCAATGCTGTCTTCGTGATCCTTGCAGGCAAGGTCCTCGCATGCATATCTTTACATTTCCCCCTTCTCCGTTAAATGTGGGCGATGTGTCACAAGCGTTTAGTGTGAGGAATGAGCAGGGTGCCACAAACAGATTGCCAAAATATGAAAATTGGATGACAATTAATGGCGATATGCTTTTAAGTGCACGTAGGCCTGACTCCCCCCTGACATTTATATTCAGTGTCTAAATAGGCACCTGCCACCATCTTCTCACCAGTCTGCTGCCTTTTTTATGTCTTCCATGCACAAAATCGTTAAATAGAGAAGCTGATGAGGTGGAATGTCGGAGTAGATTGCATACGACAGGCCCCGACTTGAGCGGAGAGGAATCATCATTTTCCTTGCTTTTCTTCCCCCTTTTTCTTTCCCCTTGACCGGCAGAAACTGATGTGACAATCCGATTTGGAATTGCTTCACATTTCCAAGGAATGCAGAGGAGGAGTGGAAGAAGGGAGGGGAGGTTGAGTAGGAAGGGGAAGACGTTGTGCAGAAGTGGAAGAAGAAGGCAGGGATCTATGTCGGAGTCGGTGTCTGTCAGTTCGGTGTTTCGGTGTCATTTGAGCGCATGCGGGACGATTGTTGCTGTGATTCATCTCCTGAGTAGCGAATAAAAGGAATGAAGAGATATAGCGCCTTGCAGTCTGGGTGGAGAACAGGGAAGAGATTGGAGCATGACGGATGGCGTGTAGCACATCAGGCCCCTACATCTCCAAATCATCTTCGAAGGTTGCGCTGCCTTCAGAAACGACTTGCTCATGGGTTTGTGTGCATTGTGAACATCCGCGTAAAAATGACATCGCGTCGAGTCGTCAGCAAATTGTCAAATTTCTGCTGCTTACTCAAGTGTCATGAAATAGAGCGATAAGCGTAGCTCCATCACCCATTCCCTATTTGCTGTATAACTCCACTTTTTGTTCGATAAAGCGACACCCTTTCCATCCTTCCAGAAATGAAACCTATCTTTCCCCCGTGATGACAGCCGCCCTCCGATGTGCGACTGTGTCCATACAGCTGAGCTAAGCCCCGTCCCATTTGCTTCACTTCCTTTCTCACCTTTCCTCCTTAAATAATGGGTCTCCAAGCCCTTTATTGCCGGTCACGGACATTCTGAGACTATAAGACAAGGCGGTAACCAAAATTAATGGGGCCCCCGGCTTGGACTTTCTCCTGGCTGACCGCGTAACGGTCTAGAGAGCATGGACAAAGAGTAAAAGACTGCTAATGGGAATTGGACGAGGTGAAGCACGCACCTAACCATTCAATTATAGGCAGAAGGATGGTATTGACATATCATTGCGGATGGTTAACGGAGAGATATTTCCTTATAATGCAACTGGATGATGTATGGCGGTGTGTAGTGCCGGACCTGTTCAAACGTGCTCCTGCGTCATTTGAATTCCTCAAACCGAACCCCGAGATTTTGCCAGATAGTTATAAATGACAAAGACAGCGGAATTGATTTCTCTTCCTTTGTTCCCCCTGCTTTTCTACTTTCTCAACCTCTGGGTGAAAAGTGGTGAACTACTTTCCCCCGCCGTCTTAGCAGCGTGCCGGCGATGGAGCTTTCTAGGGGGCACCTATATCAGATCCTTCACGCTTGTCATCATCAAGCCTCTCATCAAGCTTTGCACTCTGCCGCTTTTTTTCCCTTCCCTCTCCCGACAGCATTTTGTTTTCCAGACGAGGAACACAGAGAGGAACATATTGAATAGTAGGGGGAGGGAGACGGAGGCGTCGCAGACGTCGGTGTACACACATCTCCTGGCTAATAATCCAGCAGAGGAGACAACAGTCATTCATCTGTGCGCCAGTGCCGGCAGGTTGACTTTTTCTGACTGAAGAGGGGGAATAATTGCAAGGCTCTCGTAACTGATGAATGCGGCTGAGACTGTGAGGCGCGCGGAGCATCCTGACTCCCCCTGTTTTATTTTTTTTTTAAAAGAGCGGATGGAGATGAAAAGAGGAAATACACACAAAGGAGCATTTATGTAACAACACAAGGAGTATGCATCAACTAAGCTGTGTTCCACTTAGCTTAACACCAAAGCCAGACTGCAGGAATCAATAGGCGGCAGCAATTTTGCCCTCTTGAAAAGGAAGCTATGAGCAAACAAATATGCAAAGAATTTTCAGCTTGCGAAAATTCAGCAGCCTGTATTTCCCTCACACATGTTCACTACAGAAGCTCGCAGATTAGTGGAGCTAATCAGCAACTTGTACAGTACGGAGCTTGAAAGAAAGCGCCTGGCATCAGTATTCACTGTCTGCATAATTCTGCAGTTTGATCAGTTGCTCCGACAGAAGTTGGGAAGTATAAAAGCAAGTTCCTCTCTTTGTCGACGATTCTATCTCCTTGCTCTCTTCTGTCCTTCTTCCCCTTCTCCTCTCTCAACCTCCCCTCTCTCCCTCTCCTCTCTCATCATTCTCATTCACTCGCTCCCCTCTCCAAACTTGTGCCGGGGCTTCATTTGCAACACTATCCCCAGGTCAGCGGGGTGGGTGTGGTACAGAATGTGAAGTAATCTCGCTCGCTTGATTCTATCAATCCTCTTTTTCAGCCGGGTTTTGAACACCTCAATCAAACCTCCCCTCAAGGTCGCCTTTGTAGCATGCTCGGCAGATTAAGTCCCCATCCGTGTGCAGTGTGCGCTTTGAACTGGAGACATCACCCAGAGAAAGATAAAGAAGAGAGGGAGAGGAGAGGAAGAGAGAGGCAGAGAGAAAAGCTGGCAACTGCTGAGATGGGGAGACTTTTTTGCTTTATCCTTTGTTGG